AAGTAAACAGATCCATTCATCAAGTTCATAATTGGTTTACAGTCAATAATTTAGCACTTAACGAGAAAAAAACAAAATGTATTAAATTTAGCTTGCCCAACGTACACAGTAATGATTGTGACATAATTTTAAATGGGCAAAAGTTAGGATTTGTTAACGAGACTATGTTCCTAGGTATTACGCTAGACAATAAACTTCAATGGGGTTCCCACATAAAGACGCTTTCGGGAAGACTGAGCTCAGCTGTTTTTGCAGTTAGACAGATTAGACAGCTCACAGACGTGAACACAGCAAGGCTTGTTTATTTTAGCTATTTTCACAGCATTATGTCGTACGGAATTTTGCTGTGGGGTCGAGCTGCGGAAGTAGATTCAATATTTATTTTGCAAAAGCGGGCTATCCGAGCGATATATAACTTGCCCCCTCGTGAATCTCTGAGAGAACTATTTAAAACGATAAATATCCTAACGGTACCTTGTCAGTTTATATATGAAAACATTATGTACGTAAGGAAAAATTTGCAATTATTTGAAAAAAGAAGCGATAGACATAATTTTAATACAAGAGGCAAAGATAGGCTGGCTGTGCCACGATTCCGTCTGTCCAAAGTACAGAAATCCTTTATGGGGTTCTGTGTAAATTGTTACAATAAAATTCCAAGAAGTGTATTAAATCTTAATGAACGAAAATTTAAAACTTATATTAAACGCGAATTATGTAGACAGGCATACTACAAACTTTCAGATTATATTGAGGACAAGAATGCCTGGCATCATGTTGGTTCGGCTCCACTGGACAAAACTCAAATATGTAGTCATTAGTTATTGAAATTCTCAAAATTAATGAAACCTTGAATGAGTTTATATAGAAGCATTCTTTTGGATTGTGAGTACGCATATGTGAGCACCATGTTCGAGACAACAAAGGATTAAAATTTTAATGATAGATAGACCATCATTTGTTCCTTTTTATTAACAACTTGTCTCTGCATTGTTCTCACATAGGGGTACAGTAATGTATAAAAAATGTATTATTTATGAACTGTAAAACAAATATTTTTTTTTAAAAGAGTAACGATGGAGTTTCTTGCTCGTTCTTCTCCATTCGAAACTACAATTTGGAACGAGCACCTAGCTTCACTGACGAACAGACTGACAGACTACTATTCTATTTTGACGTTTCAAAAGTACCTATTTATGGTTTATTTGGAATAAATGATTTTGATTTGATTTGATTTGATACTCATGGGAAAATTCAGAAATTAAATAGGTATGTATTTATGTATTTACACACATACAACACCGAGCATAAATTTAAATTTATATAAATCTATTAATCTATACTTATAATAAATCTGTAGAGAGGTCAATTCTGTACATAAAATATACTTTCAAAATAACTATCAGGGGGTGATAAGTGATCGACACTGATGGCAAAAATGCAATCAGTAAAATTTTTGTCTGTCTGTATGTTCCTTATAGAAACAAAAACTACTTGACAGATTTTAACGAAACTTGGTACCATATTCTTCATATTTCTGGGCAGGTTATAAATAACAACAGTTTTCGCAAACCGCAAATTGTACCTAGTTAATATCCCTTAAGTTCCTAAAAAACTTATGTGGTACATAGGTCATACAAAACGCGCTATAAATAGAAAAATCTCATGTATTATAAAGATGATTCATGATTTTATTATAAAGAAACCAATTTCTTTATCATAATCAAAAACATGACCCATAAATATAAATATCAAAGTCAATCTTTATAAATAAGTCAACAAAACTTAATCAAAACCCCTCAAATCATAAATAAAATCATTAACCCAACCCCAGCCACAACCGAGTCTAAATTACTCAAATCATTTTACAATTATCAAGCCAAAATTCGTGCGAAAACCCGAGACCCTAATAATCCGGCAACCGATCGCATAAATTTTAAAAATACAAAATGGCGTCATCTTTTCAAGGGTTGGATTCAAAAATGGCTGCAAAGTTGATAAAGCAGGTCTTATGATGGCTTTGATAAAATGCGACGGAAATGATAAGCCGTGTCGTGATGCCTTCGATGAGATTTCGTGAACCCTTAAGTGTTATAGGACCTTCGTTCATGGCACTGTGTTTACGTAGATTCGTTTTCCATTTTGTTAAAGATATTTGTAGAAGTGATAGCTGTCTTTTTGACCTTCGTTTTTTAGTCAGATCAGTAAATAAGTCATATACCATGTTTTTAATTTTACTTTAGTCATTGGATTTTTGAGGGGGCAATTATGACATCTAATTACTTACCCTAAGTGAGGTAGTGACAGACTCTTACTGACTAAAATCTACCTCATTCTTTCTTCAGCTCCAGGCCTGAGCTACGGTATATTATCGCGCCTACAGCCGCAACCCTGGCTTGACTTAGGTCTTAAGTATAAATCATCACACCTTAAGCGAACGCAGTCTCAAACACCACGTTTGAAAGGTTAATATATTTTTTCAGTCAGAAAATATATAATAATAATCACGAAAACAAACAAACATCTGTTTGCCGCGCTTTTCTCTGGAATTAGATTAAAATCTTCAAATCCAGTTTATTTTACAAAAGAATTTTAAAATATTGAAAAATTGTGAAAAATATCGTTAATTATATTGGTACAGACTCTAAAAAACATTATTACCTTAGTTCTACAATGTCTCTAACTTAAGTGCATATACAACATACATAGCAAAAGAGAAATCCACTTGAGCCTTTAATACCTTCTTCATCTTTCCGCAAGGAAAGTGCCATTCAAAAACCCCAACCTTCCTTGTGTTTAGACACACAATAACAACCCACCATCAACTCCAAATGGCCTTGTACTTGTAACATTAAGGCTCATTTTTCCGTGTAAGGAAGGGTTAGCTTTCAAAGTGATATTATACTTGATCGGTAAATTGTTAGGGCTGTCGTAATGTCGATAATATTTGCTTTTTAACTGGGAAATAAAGCGTAAATTTTGTGCGGTAAAAACTTTTTTTATGCTTGCAATAGGTAAAAATCAGGGCAATTTGAGTTATTTTTTGGAAAACACAAAATATTTTGCAACTCGCCATAATAATTGTAATTTCAATAGTCTTAAAAGATTAAAATAGATGCAAAATTTAAAAAAATAATCACACTCTCGAGAAAGATAATAGCCACTTACCTACATTAACAGAATCACAGATAATTCAATTTTGAACCCCTTGCTATTCGACATTCGCTCATTTATTATTCTGAACGTTGAAATGGTTCATTCACTCATTCACGAGAACGGGAACGACTTTTACTTTTCGCACTTAACTTTAATCTGCACTTGGTTTTTTTTTCTCACTCGGAAAATTATTTTTAAACCGCGTATGTATTAGATCTAATATCATAAATCTAATGATTGCTACTATTGTCAGTGCGACTGTAGAGAAAGAGATCTCGGGTTCCATCCCAGTCCGGACAAATAAATTACAATTTGTGTATTTTTGTTTTTTCGAATATTAGTTACATATACCTCGTGGTCTCCATCCAGTATCACACCCCATATCACATGGTATAAAGTGGGTTTCATTATTTTATTTTTATTCTACAGTACGTTAAAATATTTGTTTTATATTATTATGTAATAACATCCCATTCTTAGCTGCTATTAAGTACATACTAATCATAGTGACCCGTGTTGTTTTAGACTAGAATTGTAATAATACACGTCGAAATTATTAACAGTGTGACCTAGAATGATTTAACACTACACAATTTAGCTTATATTAGAAAATACTTTAAAAAATTAGCTTTAGTTTTACTCAGAAACTTGCCTTATTCAGAAACAAGATTTTAAATTTGAAACCAGTTTTTGTATTTCAAATTGAAGGTAGGTGAGAATAAGGTTCAAAATACAATGACTCAATGGTTTAAACTCAGATTAAAGATAAATCTTGTTTTGTAATAAGGCGGAGAGCGCCTGTTTTACCGTCTTCATAAAAGTTCCCTATAAAGTGATGTGACACATACTTCATTTAAAACGACGTTCTATATTCAAATTTACCTGATACATAGTTCGAATTCAGACAATGTGAAACAGACGCTAAGTCTGAGACAAATAGGTAAAATGTGGATTAGCACTTGCACACGAAATCGTTCGAGGTAAGTCGACTAGTTTCAAGCTATGCCTGATGCCATAAAAGTCTAGCAAGCACAAGGTGATATCATTACATGAAAGAGATCACGACACGAAAGTGCAAAGCTTCTTCTATTTGACTCAGACGTAGAAATAAACTAATTAATATAGTTTGAATTTAGAATATAAATAAAAACTAAAAAGAAGATCTCCGTCTTATATTTTATACAAACACTTATCAGAATCTGCTATTCATATAATGCTCCTTGTTATAATGTTACCACAGGTTAAATTACAAAGCGCATACAATTTAATACGGGTGCACCCTCTCTGATTAGACGCGCCTTTGTGAGCTACCCGCCCAGAACGGGATACATCCAGTTCTAACTGGATTGCACTGGCGAAACGCCGCTCAGAATACAGTCATACAGTTTACACGATGGTTGTGGTAGTGAAGGCTTCCATTTTGGCTACAAAAAACTTTGTAATTGAGAATTGTTTGTAGTATGCGCTATAAGTGAATGTAAAAATTATGATCTACCATTTAAAGCATAAAATTAGTAAAATAATCATATGTAAAGATGGAGTTTTTATTTAATAACTCTATTCCATACAATTTGCGTACATAATATATTATGTATTTGGTTAAAGGCTGATTTTTCAATAGTCAGATAAATGTTATCTTAGGAATAAAATTGTTGCTGTCACTGTCTTATACAAACATTTTGACGTGACAGCATCATAATCATTTACCAGATAACTTTTATCTAACCATTGAAAAATCAACCCTAAGTTTTTTAACCTACTATCATTGAAAATATAATTTTATTACACATTGATCACAACTAGGTATTAACTATTACTGTATACTAACGCCATCTTTTTCACAGCGGACGAAAACGGATCCATTTCGGAGACAATACCGGACCGGCCCGTCGATCTCAAAAACTTTCCAAAGCTCTGCGACCAGAGAAGAAAATATCCTGTTTTATACAAACTAGAGTTTCAAGTAAGTACTTATTTATATTATTTTACCTTAGTTAGTTTAATAAGTAATTAATTAATTAAAATTCAGCCTAGTTTAGCGGGGTTTTGCAACAAACTTAAGAGGGTGCTGTAGTTTAAAATAATATTCTGATCTTTTATGGTTACAACTTACAAGTCTTATTTAAAAAACCAATGAATACCAAATTCAGTTTCGCCAGCGTGGTGGATTAAAAGTAGAGAGCGCGGAATGTGTTAATCCAAGGTATTACATACACATGTACCATAATTCAACCGAATCGGTCCAGTCCTTTTTTGCGTGAAAGGATAAGAAACATACATTCACACATTCGATCCTACACGCTCTGTTTTCTTTAAACGACCACGGTTGGTGAGGTGGCTGGGCCACTGGCTGCCGTGCAATGTGTCGCGGGTTCGATTCCCGCACGGAACAACTCTTTGTGTGATCCACAAATTCTTGTTCCGGTGTTCTGAGTGTCATGTGTATGTGAAATTGTATGTTTGTAACCACACTTACGATACAGGAGAAAATCCTAGTGTGGAGCAACATTTATTTTAAGATAGATAGAATAGAATATCCTCAAAATAACAATATTCTACTCGTATTTCGACGAAATACAACAAATTCGCAATGCTATCACGTCAGTCTTTTGGCTGAGTAAATAAATCTGTTAAAGACGAAGGCTTATCAGAAAAAATTGATGGTTATACTACTCCAATAAGTAGCAAGAACGGTGTAGTTTTTTATTATTTTATTTATTTGGCTCACCAACAATTGAATACACTGATACAATAACATGATACATCCAAGAGACTTATAAGCTAGTGTACCAATTTCTTATAGGTAAGCACATCATGCACAAATTATTGATGTTGAGCGTAGCTTAAAGCATCATTAAGAACATTATAATAATCATTATATATAAATTACAATTAAAATCAATATTAAATTTAAAAAAATAAACAAAATCAATATTACATTAAAAAACAAAATCAAGATAGAAATAAAACATAATTAAATCTGAAAACAAAATCAAAATTATTACTTCCAATCGTTATTAATATCTATCTATCTCTTTTAGAAACCTATCATTATCAAAATTGCTACAGAATACGAACCTCTAAAGAAATACCGAAACAAAATCTGCCATTATTTGAAAAAGGCTCATTAGAAAAAATACAATTTTAAATGAAGCTTTATCAATACGTCCCAGATAAGTTCATCCCATTTTGGTGTGAGGCCAAAAGAGTCCATCTTGGTACATAATAAGTCACAGTAACGATCGCCTGGGCCACGTGCCGCCAGCTAAGTGTAAGCCTCGCTCATTGATAAACGGTCCCAGGAAATTAAGTGTCGCGGAAGATATGGGTATTTAAGTTCATCCTTCCTTTATCTCCGAATTGTTATAGGGTTTTCCATCTTTTTGTTAAGATGATAAGAGAAAATTATGGAAGGCGAATACATAGGAGAATACGCCGTTTTTATATTATTGTGTTGTTTTGAAAGAAAACTCTTAAGGTAATCACTGAAGGTCATAAAATAAATTTCTGTTATAAGTTTTATCTCGTCCATGGATCTAATACAGACGATTGTAATGAGTATATTAGTGCTATTATAATCTCGTAACGACGTCCGATGCTCGCAAAGGATATTAAGAAGTTAAGATGCACTTTTTCCCCTCACAAAAAAAAGATGCACTTATTCTACAACCATTTCCTACTAGTGCAAGTGAAATAGGTTGTTCTAAGTAAATGTACAAACGTACAAACGTACCTTAGTTCAATTGTTTCAGAGAGTGTGCTTATCAAGGCAACCAAATCTCAAACACACTCCATGCTAAGAAATCCAAATCCAAATTACAATCTAATATTATAAATGCGAAGTCTGTCATTTCTTCACGCCTAAACTACTAAACCGATTTCTGTAAAATTTGGCACTGAGATAGTTTGGACCTCGAGAAAGGACATACATAGGATAGCTTTTATACCAAAAATCTGCAGAAAGTCACTATTCCACGCGAATGGATACGCGGGCAAAACCTATTACTTTCATAAAATCTTTAAATCAGGAAACAAACAATAACTACTAATAAAGTTCAAAAAGAATGGCAAGAACCAACAAATTCATTCATGTACAGAAATAAACCTTCGCTGAAGTAAAAAAGACATTTTAATTAGAAATAAAGAAAGAAGAACCTTGATTAAATTGTCAATTTAAGATTGGAACGTCAAAAGAAACCCTCCTAAAAGATGCTTGTTGAAAATACAAAGACATTGTAATTTGACAATGTTATTTTTAGATGTGAAGTTGATGAATTCACTAGGGATTGAAATTGAGTAATGTGTTACAAGAAAAATGTCACAACTTGGATCTCGGGAAGGGATTCCAACATATAGAGTTCCAAGAGATTGTTTATTGATTGGACGCTAATTTTGTGCCTAATAGACTTTGCTGAGGCTATCTATAAGAGCTTAGTGCTTTTTCTTTCTCGAACGGATCCAACTTCTTCTTTCTTTTCTTCATCTTTATTTCTCACTTCATCTTCATAACCATTCACAACTCGATTAAATAATATGAAACGAAAACGTCTGGATGATAACCAAGAAATAATTTTGTATGTTCGTCACGAATAGATTGGCACGCCGAAAACCAGTGTAAAACATCTACTACCTACCAGAGCTTTACTTGTTTATCTCCCTTTTCCTAATCCCTTCAATTATCAAATTCTCTTGTTTCTAATCCTCTTTTGTCTGCACGTTTGACCTCCGCCTACCGTACAACATGTCGCTGATTCGATTACTGCATGGCAACAACTCTTTGTGGATCCACTTATCGTTGTTCCGGGTCTTGGTGTGATGTACCTATATGTGAAATGGTATGTTTGCAAACGCACTTAGACACAGGAGAAGATCCTAGTGTTAGGCGTCTTGCAAAACCAGCTTCCAAGTTCCAGCTTCTGGTGCTGTGGATGACCATGAGCAACGCCGATTGCTTTTCATCAAAAGGATGTCAAACAACGGGTTCCAGCTTTATATTACTATCAACGACCCCAATTATACTTTTAAAGTATATTACAAAATTCTTTCACTAAATTAATCCCGTACCAATCTTGTTGTATCACAATAACTCCATTTTTCCAAGACGAAAGAATTTTTTTCAAACAAATGAAGTTCAAAAACTTTTGAAAAGGTTTCGGTAATTTTCGGTGTTTCAAACACAAAAAAATCTTTGTTTTCAACTTTATCGTCGTTACGTTAGGGGTCCTTTTAAGGTTGATAGAAATTTAGTACTTATCAGATGTTTTAATACTGGCTACGAAAAAAATGTTTACAATATTTTCTTTTAATTTTTGAATGTAGTTTACTGTAGAATTACGCTTGTCAACCGAGTTGTTGTTGCTGGTATACCAACCTCTTTTGGACAGTAAACCTCTACGGTCTGTAGATAAGAGCATATTGCTTAATACTAATTATGATTAATAAACGTGAATGGAAAAAACATGGGAGAATGGATGGGTTGATTACTCAACATCTCTCCACTACAAAACTGCAGCCTATACGTTAGTAAAACTAGTGACATATCATTTACATATTATATAAGAGAAACAACCAAGACAACAGCTTTATTTCAATAAAACTAAAGACCATATTTGCATATTCATAACATTATAAAATTTTGGGAGAGAGTTAAAGCCAAAAAACTTAAACAATAAACCATTCGCTTTGATTCATAGTCGAAGAATTTTTCCAAATACATTACAAACTTGTGGCGTAATTCAGTTCCGTGAGTTAATCTTTCAGTAAGGTTTAAAAAAGAAATTGTATTAACTTTGTAATTCTTCCTTGGAGTTCTACTTTGAAACGTTGGTAGTTTTAAACTAGTTACTTTTATATTTCGGTAAGGTGGTGAGAGAACTGGCTTTTTGGCAAGTATAATGTAGTAGCTGCATTTATCAGAACCTCACCTCTCCTCTTGTAGCTGGTCTCAAAGTTTTTATGTAATAGGTCGGCAAACGATCGTACTAATTACATGTACTTACATCAGAAGAGTTCAGTGTTCTCGACCTTTTGGGTACAGAATTTTGGAGATTTGCGTATTGGGGAGGGATGGAGGACATGAAATATTGGGCCTCGAGTGAAACACAACGTTGTGATTATTTCATGCCGGTTTTCTGTGAGGCCATAGTATCTATCTACTTCAAAATAAGCGCTACAATAGAAGGTCCAGGATCCAGTAAGGGAATAAAGTAACTCTTTTCATTTTCGTAAACCGATAGAAAAAAGGAATATTTTTTTATTAAAATTCAGCGGTAGAGGTGGAGCTGAAATTGTTGAGCGGTGCAGTGTCGAGGCGGCGGGCGACGCCTAGTGCACTGAACATAAATTATCTAGGTTAACCTCGCCTGACGTGACCCACTTATGCATTATTCGGTGCGATGGATAAGCACCCGTTTTTCCAATGGATATGGAATTTTTGCCGGAATATTCAGTAGCTTTTGTAATAGTGGCGATGTTTTATTAAAATTTATCAAAGAATGTTTGCCATTTCACTTGATTGGTTCGTTTATTTTGTATTGTAGAGACAATTTTTTTAAGGTACATGTAAAACTTTCTTATCAAAATTTTGTAAAGAACTAAAGACGAAAAGAACGAAAGATATTATCAAAACGGTAAAATTATTATTTAACAAGGTCCTCATGTTGGCAAGATGTAGTTAAGATTTCCATGTACTATACAGATTACTAAGCTTATACTAAGGAGGCTATAATCAATATCAACCATGTTACTCTAACAGCTAAAACTGTAGATAGTTATCATGATCTCCTTCCGAGTGTAAAACCGATAGAATTTCACCGATAACATCAACTTCCAGCTTCAACTGCCGTCGACCGTGTAAGGCGACCTCGCAATTTTTCCAATATTCCACCTTCAAAAAGCTAGCGTAGAAAATCTAAAAAAACAACTCGGTGCCGCCTTTTGTCAACTTTATCGAAGCGTCGTATCGAGACGAGTGAAGTTTTTCGCTGCTTTTTTCCTCGCTTACTTCGACATCACTCTGTCAACGTCCGCTGAGATATAACCCCGAATAAAAAATATATTTACGGACGGACGACCGGAAAATTTATCTGCCCCACAGCCCTTTGCGAGTTTTTATTATCAATCGACGAAGTGTGTAGATCCTATAAATATTACGCACAATTCAAACTAATAAAAAAGTTGGTAGCCCACTTTTTGCTGAAGTATTCATTTCTTGTTATTGATAAAAATCTGTTATGTGACGGGTCAAATTCGTTGAATGGTATTGCAATGCTAAAGGTCCCTAACGGAAACCCGTTTTTATATACAAATAAATTTTGCGATGATGACATTTAAACTTTGAAATATTTTTTGCTACATGTTATTTTACACACAGTTTTTTTATACTTTTAATATTTTTTTATTTTGTATTAGCCATTAACGCCTCCTATGGGTACCAGGAATGACAAAAGAGTGTATTGCCGGCCTTTTGGTGAAACCAGAAGTTTCGGATATTTAAGGATTGTGAAGGGATGGGGGCAGGGAAAGGATAAGGCCTCCAGGATTTTTTTAGCGTATAGAAAGTACTTTACGGAAAAGCGCAATAGTAAAAGTAGGTATACTTTATGAAAACTAGTGTCAATGTTCAACCTCCAACCTAGTTGGGACAAGGCCAGAAGAGAGTAAACTATTCTTAAAAGGTCATAATTCAATAACCTTTTTATTTCGCTGGCAATGCAAGCAATGCGCAGTGGTCTGGTTATATCGATAACCTTTCAATGACTGAAAATATCGCTATCATCCAGTCAGCAATTTTTAAACGGGAATAATGGAATGTAAGATCTTTACTTTCCTCCGGTTTTGCCTCTAACTTATGTTATTTTTTCGACTTTTGTAAGATCAGAAGATTCTATGTATAGGTGAGGTACAGTCAACAGAACGAACGGAGATATCATCCGCACTATCTATTGGATACAATTTTTACAGTTTTAATTTTGCAATCGGTAGGTGTAAATGTGCCGATACCCGACAAATACTTGAAAAAGTAATATATTGGTAATTTTTTTGTACTTTCTGTCAAAAAAAATATTTGTATACTGACTTATCCACATTAGCTAATTAGAACAACATCAAATAATGGTACCCTCTGTGTGTATAAAAAAGTTGTTCATTTCTAAAAACGTGTCATATAAAAGAACTGATGTACAATACCGCTGACGTATCTTGGCGAGTTTGAAGTTAACCGATTAGCTGCGCAGTACACAATTTTGTTCCTAAAAGATCCATTGCGCAGTCAAACGGCTACCTTCAAACTCGCCAAGATACGGCGGCCGTAGTGTAAAGTCATCCTTGTGCAAATGACGAATTCGAATCGTAGTGCTCTCTGAAACAGACAATTTCAAAGAAAAGGTTAATAATCATAACAATGTCTTTCTCTTTGTTCCAGACGGCGGTTAAAGTGGAGACGCACTCTTGTCGACACGCTACTAAGAAGACAAATTCACACAAAAATCAAAATCAGAAAGTCATACCTTGTGAGTACCACTTAAGATTCATATTCATATAAATTTGTTCCGAACTTCCCCTTACCTTTTAAATATTTATAACTTTGTTCTTTCAAATATTTCGTGGTTTGAAGTGTGATTTACATTGCGTTGTGTGACTGGGGATTTTTTGCTATACATTACTGTTGAGTTTTATATTTTATGAAGTCAAAAGCTTTTATATCAATTTGCTTACAGCCACTTTTGAAGTATTTCGTATTATATTCGTTTGACGATCTTTTTATGGAGTGAGAGATTTATTTCTTAATGACACAAATTCATTGACGAGTAGACTGACAGACTGTTATTCTATTTTGACGTGAAAGTGCTTGGATATGGTTTAGTGGGCATAAAAGGTTTTGACTTTGACTTTGGCTTTAACACACAATAATTTCCATGTATAAGTTTTAAATTATTAGTGTGTAATCGATATAAGTACCTATGTAAGTTCTAAAGGAAGGTAGTTTTGAAATTCTTAACATTGTCCTTGTGAGACAAGATTCTTGCTGGTGTGGGCAAAAGGTTGATGTTGATAAACCGTACTCTAACTTAATCTATTAGTTAAATTCTAAATGCAAGTCATTATGATTACTTATCAGTAACTTTCAAAATTTGTATCATATCGCATAAAGTATCAATATTATAGTAGCTACACGATTGATATCAAACAAAAATTAAATAAAAAAGTTTTAATAACAACGAAAAACTTTCCAACTCCTTAAACGTTTCCGATTAAAAAGTATGGCAGTCTATCCACAGCTTTATCACGTAATTCCTAGCATTCCGCAAAGTACATTTTTATTCGCGACTCCCCATAAAGCTGGCTATAAAAAGTGAAACCTTTTTATTACTTCATCGTAGCTTAGCACGTAAAACTTAGATTGAGGTATACGCGACAAATATTTGTGAACGATTTAAAATTGTAACTGCATTTCCAAAATAAAATATATTGTTGTCTTTTTGAAATCCCAATACGAAATATTCTTAAACACACACTGGATTTTAATAAAATTAATTTATACTGCTACTCTTGCGCGGTTCCACTCGCTGCTCAGCTCCATTTGATCGTAGCGTGGTGTTTTATAGCCTATAGCACTCAAGAACATTGTAGCTATCGATCATTGAAAGAATTTTGGCAATCCGACCAGCGGTTCCAAAGATTACCCCATTAAAATCTCGTAAAGTTATATACAAGCACAATGTCTCTTCAAACTGTGTTGAGTATCTATCATTATCTAGTCACCATTGTAGCCACAAACGAACTAGACATTCAAAGATGGAACTGTAACATTCATCAAGCAGGCCAATTCGCAATTATTTACGGTCATCGCATCATGTCAACTTCATTCCCTGACCTCATCTCAGTAACTGAGATCGAAATGTAGCAACTAAGTACTTATACCTACATATCAACCCATCAACTACTGCAACTAGTATGGAACAACTGTGTGACCTACAAACTGGACCTCTTGTAAACTATCCAAGACAAAATTCTAATGGAGAAAAGAATAAGAAAATTAATTTTAATAAATATCTTTTTTGTAGTTGACTGTACATTCAGTGACGCTTATGATTTCAACAATTTGTTTTGAAGTCCCAAGATTTTGATACAATTGTTTTTAAATGAAAATTGGTATTTCGTCTTGTTAGTCTATGTCCAAGATTAGTTGCACTCAATTTAACTTAGTAAGTGACAACAGTGAAATGTGGCAAGTAGCAACGTGACTTCTTCCAAGTCATAATTATGTAATATCTAACTATATTAAGACGCCATTGACAAACGGTGAAGAAAAACATAATGAGGAAACCTGGACCTACCCGTGCGTGGTGATTAATGCTCAACCTTAACCATGTAAGAAGAGGCCTTTTGCACAGGAGATGGCACTTATAGGCTGATGATGTGTAATGTGAAGTGGCACCTTATTAGTTTTTTAACACCCTAAGTACTAACCTAATTTTTTTAAATGCGAAGTCATTCAATTACTTGCATTCAATGGCCTAAATGGAGCAAAAGGGGCGGGTCAGAATCTTACCGACTTAAAGCTATCCCGTTCCGTCTCCAGACATCAGTCCAATTGGGACTCATCTGTGCTGATGGTCATCCCTATAAGTAAAAGCTAACTTTTACTGGAAGTTGAATACATACACAGCTAAAAGGAACACCCTGTTTTACAACTAGCTACTAATTAGTCCATTCTCGTCTACCGCATAAGGTAACAGGCGTAATAAAATAAAACATCAGCTCTAGTTAGCAAGTACTGGTGGTGCCATCTTTATCGTCTGCAATTTGTCCATGAATGACGTCATAATAGAAACTAGTGAACCGAGGAAACTGCAGTTACAATGCATTGATAGGCTCTGTGCATACTGAAAGAGATAAAGAAATATAAATTTAATAGCGTACGAATATAGTTCTAATTACAATGACAGTCTACCCTTCTAACCAGTTCAGTATCGAATGTCGTTATCGCTTTAGAAACGAAACAAATGTGTGGAAATTACTACTACTATTCAACACCCTATTCTTACCTCCACATAAGTACCAAGCATGTTTTTATAATAACTATCGTGAGACATACTAAAGTAGGCTGCGCGACTTCGCCGCGTCCGCGCACGCTGCTCATGAGGAAGAACCCCTCTGTGGTTTGAAACTAGTAGAGCTTTTCTCAATATACACACGTGAGTAACCCGCGATTTTTAGTTAATTAAGTACCAAGCACTTGATAAACTTATGTGGCAGATCACTCTTACAAATTACATAAATTATAATGATACATTATGTTGTGTAATTATGCTGTTTATATATTATCAAACAGACCCTTGTGTAATCCTATCTTTAACTGTTTGCTGTTAAAAATAGGCCTTTACCGTTTTAGTCTAAGAATTTTGCAAATATTTGGCGCTCACGCTCATCCAATATTATTATACAAAACACGTTTCTATGTTGCCTGCATTTGATGACATTATTTGGCTTTTCTCGTCTTCCAACCAATGTGTGCAAGTCTTTAGTGTTCATTTGTTCAACAGCTTCGTTCGTTACCGCGCGGTTTTGTTTAGTGACGTTTGAGTCAGCCGCCATCTTGTTTTACAAGGAGCCTTTGATTTCAACGGCTTAAATAATTTATTTTCAAACTTAAACTTACTTGATTATTCAATTTGTTAGTTCAGTTTGTTTGTTGGTTTTGTATTTTGGATTGTTTTTGGTTCGTTTAAATTTTAGGTTATATCTTAAAAGGAAATTAAAATGAGAAATCTGTTTGGTAACTATTTTATTGAAGAAGACAATAAAAATTTGAATTTTCGGATATTCTACTTCTCATAAATATAAACAGAAGTTATTGACTATGATTAAGGTGGTAGTTAATTAAATGTTATTTTGTTCTTATACTTTCTAAGAATAAAATTCTCAGTCACAAACAGCAGATAGCAGCATATACAGACAAATATAGGCAGGACATAATTTGTAGATACCTCCAGGAAAGAAGTGGCAGAGTCGTAGGATTAAACTATTTCATACCAATAATTTTTAGTTTAGTAATACAGCGCCAACGAGACATCGAATCGCCTGATGGTAAGCAATTGGCTTCGTCTATGGACACCTAAGACCACAAATACAACGGTTTCAAGTAATTTTCTGTAAGCTCGTGGTACCACTACTGTGAAGCCAGCTCATGCATGACCGCGGGTCTGCGGACGGCGAGTAAGGGTAGCTCGCCGCCCGATCAGAACCAGACCCGAGCGTACGGCGCGTAGCGTTCCGCGCGCGCCTCAAAGAGCCAATAGACCACCACAAACGGGGCTCTATAAGCCTGATGTTTAGCCGGGGTTGCGGAGTAAGCTCAATGAGGCACCGCGACCTCGGCTCAAAACAAGAGAAGGAACGGGGGGGTTTTTAGTCAGTAAGAGTCTGACACTCCCTCCTGCCCGGCCCTAGGTCATTTGATGATGAATGATGTGAGTCATTTGATGATTTTCTCCTGACAAAAAAAAGCTCAGCATGGTGCTTCCACACTTACAAACCACAAACAAAATATTTTGAAAATAAAAACATCCTTATTTTCCTGATCGTCGGCTCTTAAACAACGACCACAATATACCCAAGTTAATATTTCGGTACAAGGTTGCAGGTTGAGGTCGTAGTAGCAATATTCTCATCTAATTCCGTATTCCCCGCAGATGACTACAACCGCGTGGTGCTAGAGACGGTGGACCGGGAGCCAGACTCCGACTACATTAATGCTTCCTACATAGATGTGAGTATTTCTGAAACTTTTTATTCTTTTCAGGGCTCATTTTTCAATGGTTAGATAAAAGTTATTTGGTGAATAATTATGATGCTGTCGCGTTAGAATGTTTGTATATGACAGTGACAGCAACAATTTTATTGCTCAAATAACATTTATCTGACTATTGAAAAATCAACCCTTACCCTTATTTGTTAGTATTTTTGAAGTAAGATTCTTGAATTGTCTAGTGACTTTTGAAGTATTTGTGTGAGACAAGAGACTTTAAGATTCGGTTCCCAAGAAAATGTTTGAAAGGGTTAGAATTTCCAGGATACCGTTCTAAGAACCTTGAAAAATTATTATTCCTGTACCAAATTTGTTCCGATTCAAATTATATTTAATATATCATTAGATTATGTGAATAAAGTAATGGGAGAATTGACAAAAATCTTTTCAAAACCATGCACTATCACTACAAGAAATCAATCCTTTTTGCCAAACAATTACATATCTGTTTAATTTGCTTTAAAAATACATTCAAAAAAACTTTTCATTTATCATCACTTCAAAACAAATGCTTAGTTTGTTACTAAAATCTAGACTACTATCTCAAATTAATAATCTGTCTTAAAAATCCCAGCCTTAAATTAAACTCCTCTAACATAATCGGCCTGTTAATTAAATGGTCCGACTAAAGCCTAATTATCTTCATTAATAAAGGGTAATTACTCGGTAACCGGTCGATAGTCGTTAATTAGATATCTTATAACTGGTATCATCTTGCTTAGGGTTGGATCCGATACGGCTATGTAAGCAAAATTGTTTTTTTTTTTTCAATAATTTGTTAATTAGAACCTGCGATGGCTGGCTAACTGGATGCCGTAGGTTTGGAGCACGGAACAGCGCTACAAATTAATCTGTGTGTGATGTGTATTTGAAATTGTATGTTTGTAAACGTCACCCAAGCTACAGGAGAAAATCATGAGGTTTTTTTTTAAATAAAAGCAATTCGATTTTTGACTGTTAATAAAATAAGTATGTATGTTAGAAAAAGAATAATCATTAACATTCTGCGGCTGATAAATCTTAACCAAATAAAAAAAACACTAAACCAAAAGCGAAATCCATACAAGATTACAATTCAATCAAGTTTACTCTGGCAGTTCTCAAAATGTCCTCCACTTCAGTACATATAAAGTACTGAAGCAAACCTTAGAATTCACCGTTTCATAAGATTTCAGACGATCATGAATTTGGTCACGTCCACACATAATGACTGTACGAATTGTTGGGCTCAATATCCCTCTGAAAAGGCCCGATTCTCAAGCTGAACGACCCTGGAGGACCAAAGAATATCAACTAGATATTGTGTAGAGTTGAAACCGGTTCGAGGGTTCCTGATAAAAACCTTAGGGTCCAATTTGGCGACAAAAGTGTTGAGGTGAAAATACTGAAAAGGTTTTTCAAGGTTTAAAGTATTTATTCATGGAGAAAACGTATTCGTACGTGATGTGTGACGTTATTTTGTGTTAAAGAAAAGCCACTAATAAAAAATTTCAATACTAACTCCAAAGAGGCTTAACGAAAATTTAGTTACGTTATTATAGGAACTTTCAACCTATTTTATTGAAACTCGGTATGTATGCTCAATTATATACATATATCATGGTCTTATAATATAGGCAACTTACATTTGCAAGTACTTTTTCGATAAAGATATTGCAGAGACTGGAATAGACAATTTTAAGTTTCCATACAGATATAAAATCGCGAATAACTGCTCGATTAATGAGTATTTTAAAAATGCGCCTACTTAATTAAGATTATAAATTTTGCTATAAGTATTCTGTATGAGTATGAATATCGACAGACTGTTAGATATTCTCTTTCGATGTTTCAAAAGAACCTCGAAATGGTTTAGGTGGTATAAATGTTTTTGAGATTATTTTGACTATGACTTTTGAATAGGTACCTAAATTATATTAAAATCGGTTCAGTAGTTACCATGTTTTTTGACTTGAACAATTTGTATCAAAACATCTGTTTAAAACGCTCCTAAACTATTCATAATTAACATTTTTGTTTTAAAAACCTTTAACCTTTACTAAAAGTCTTTAGTAAAGTTTAGTCTAGATCTTTATTAAATAATATCTAAATGACGAGGCCAGTCAGAAAGATTTCTATTCAATGACAAAAATCCAACTCTATAAAAACACACTTCATAAAATTCTCAAGTCACGCTATATCCTTGTTCTTTGCTGAAATTCAACCAGACTATCTCGGAAGCTCCACAAAGACCGGTATAATAACAAAAGTTAAAAGAAGTGTAGATATTAAATTTCATACTTACGCCACCGCCAGCGCCATCTACTTTATCAGACAAGTACGGAGAAGCATTTTAACGAAATTAAAATGTTTTGCAATAAATGCACTCCTTCCAACCTGTTTGCTACAAGACCTCGGTATACCGAAAGAGGAGTTTCTTTAGTAAGGTAAATCGCCCGAAGGCAATATTAGTTTTCTAGAACGTTCCATTACATTCTCGAAGGCTTATTAAGCCAGAGTTTGCTTTGATTAAAATCTGGTACAGGCAAGTTGTCTTGCAAATAAAAATGTCTTCCGGTATTGCCTTTGACGTCTTAAGGAGCTTATTCTGTGTTTGAATCGCTTTTCATGTTTAGGCGTAGGTTGACATGAACACAGATATTATATAATAGAGAGAGCCCAAAGTGCCTTACATACGTCTACATAAAGTATAATATTTGGATTCTAGTCTATGTAATAAATAACGGTATTATTAATGAGGTGAAAATAATCAATACATACTATAATACGTACGTATATAAACTAGCTGCTCTCGCGTGATTCGGCTCGGTAGCGTGATGTTTTAAAGCCTTCCTCGAAAAATGGTCTAAAGAAAAAACAATTGTGCAATTCGAACCAGCAGTTGCACGCGCTAATCTCCATTAGCGCGTTCAAACAGACAAACAAACATTATAATCTGCAGCTTTATAATATTAGTAAAGATGACAATAATAAGACAAATCGAAATTAAATACATATTTTATATTGATAATGGCGTATCTTTTTAATCCTAAAAGCAAGAACAACACGCTTGAAGTTTATGCTTTGGCAATATCCACAAAAATAAAATCTAAATGACCATTGTTTCATATAACATCAAAGTTTATAAAAAAAACTGGGGCTGTTAGAAAGACGAAAAAACATGTGACCCTTGACATTGTTTGCATTTGATCCATAAAGAAAACGACAGCTTGCTAAAAGTAGGGAAAATAATTATTATAGTTATTGAAAAAAAGGGTTCTAAGGTATATAAGTAAAAACATACCAACGCCTTTGAAGAAAAAGTACCTCCGTGTATTAAACTATGATTGCCTATGAGTTTTGTTTTTACTTGTATGTTTAGGCTGTTTCAAAGAATAAGCGAAATAATTATCAATAACAAAACCGACATACATTTTCAACTTCACAAAAAAGTATAAAAGAAAGTGACTTACTCTGTCCAGTATTTGCTATGCATGCTTAAATCTTAAAAACTACGCAACGGATTTTGGTGCAGCTTCTGTTACCGATAGAGTGATTAAAGAGGAAGATTTATATGTATAATATCATCCATTAAATAGCAAAAAAATTAAGTATCAGCTTATCACCCGTGTGAAGCCGTGCGGGTCGCTAATATATTTATTAAATTAGTTAGCAATGTCTGGGGATATTGTGATTTTTTTTAATATCTCCTTGACTTACGTCTCATGCATGAAGATGCGGGTTCGAAACCTGGTAATTACCAATGAGATTTTTTCCAAGTTATTTACTGTTTGTTTTACATAATAAAACATTACATTCTATGATTATTTAGACACCACTGACAAATGGTGAAGGAAAACATCGTGAGGACACCAAGACTTATAATGTCTAATTATACATTTAAAATCGCCGATCCGCTTTGAGCAAGCTTGGTGATTAATGCACAGACCTTCTCCTTGTGGAAAGAGACCTTTCCTCAACAATGGGCACTGATAGGCTGATGATGTGTGATATCCTTGACTTTAACTTTTTTTCTATCTGAAATGGTATAGTATAGCCATATGTATCTAAAGTAAAAACAGATATGGGATTGTATTAACACCAGCTTGCAATAAATCTTGTGCCAGATGAAGTCCATAAAAATTTGATGTCGTCATAAAAATCACTTTTGATATCCCATGCAGCCTCCATATATCTAATCTAGTACACACACCGAAGCCTGCCCACGCATTTCCAATTAAAAATATTGATTCACTATCGTGATGGAGCTAAATTAATACTTCAAACGCGCTTAATTGGCAAATGTACTTGCAATTTTTAGATGGCAAATTACGCCAATGCCCATCAGAAAAAGAAGGTACTTTTATAGAAACATAACAATACGGTAGTTTCCAAGTAGTCAAATTCAATACTTTTATCCCAATGTCAAAAACGACACTATTTTGTATGAAAATATATAATATATACTACACAAATTTGTATGAAATACTGAGTTATGACGTCATAGTATTTTTACGTCAAATAGCTTAGTTATTTCTTAAAAATGATCTAAAATTTAGTATATCGATCGATCAATGAATGAAAGTATAGATACTTATTTTTCAATTTTTTATTGTATCGAAACGTCGAATTAATTTATTTTTGGTCCAGGAAACTACCCAATTGCAGTACTGAATAATCATTAAAAGCCTCTGACCTCTACTTGTTGGATTATGGGCATAAAAGAGTTTGTAATACGCAGTTTAATTTTAAGGGTTAAGTTTTATCAAGGAACTTTTAAGTTTTATCAAACCATTCAATTGCGACCCCCTTTTTCATCAACATGTAAAATTGTACTCAAAAACATTTAGAATAGTATGCAAAGCCGCAAAGCGACTTTTCATCAGTAATAAAATAAAATCAGCTGATGACAAGATAAAGGCTACGTGGAAAATAATACAGAATGAGACAGGTAGGAAACGATTAAAAAATTCGGAATTTTGTTTAAACACTGAAAGGGGACAGATTTCGTCAAGTAAAGATGTAGCTCAGGAGTTTGAGGCATTTTTTGCTAATATACCTGTCTCAACAACTGCTCATTTAGAATCATCAGCTAGACTATCGGTAACTTTGCTTAGAGAAAATGTCAAATCATGCAAAGACGATTTTAGTTTTCATTATACTAATCCTTTAGAGATAATAAAGGTTTTTAAAGAAATCAAGATTAAATCAACTGAGGACCTTTGGGGACTATCGGTGAAAGTCTGCGGATCACTTATCCGAACTTTAGCGCCGTATCTGGCTTTGATTTTCAATAAAAGTATAGATGACGGTGTCTTCCCCAACCTAATGAAATACAGTAAAGTTATTCCATTATTCAAAAATGGTGACACTAAGGAACCAAACAACTATAGGCCTGTGTCTGTTCTACCGGTTCTTAGCAAAGTGTTTGAAAAGTTAATGCTATCTCGGATGCTTCATCACTTTGATAAACATGCCATCTTTCATCACCAACAATACGGTTTTCACTAAAAGTCGTTGTACAACTGACGCCGGTGTCACTTTGATAAAGGAGGTATTCGGTGCTTGGGAGGAAGCACAGGATGCTGTTGGTGTCTTTTGCGACCTCTCAAAGGCGTTCGATTGCGTTGATCATGAAACACTCTTGCTGAAATTAGATCATTACGGGATTAGACATACTGCACTCCGTCTACTAAAGTCATATTTAGAGGATAGGCAGCTGAGAGTTCATGTAGGTGGTTCTAACTCACGGGGCTCTGAGATAAAAATTGGCGTACCGCAAGGTTCAATTTTGGGTCCGTTTCTCTTCTTAGTTTATGTTAATGACTTGCCATTTCTATTTAAAACCGAGCCAAGAATGGTGCTGTTTGCAGATGATACATCATTAATTTTTAGAATAGGTCGACGTGTTAATAATTTGGACGAAGTAAACAGCTCCATTCATCGAGTTCATAATTGGTTTACAGTCAATAATTTAGCACTTAACGAGAAAAAAACAAAATGTATTAAATTTAGCTTGCCCAACGTACACAATAATGATTGTGACATAATTTTAAATGGGCAAAAGTTAGAATTTGTTAACGAGACTATGTTCCTAGGTATTACGCTAGACAATAAACTTCAATGGGGTTCCCACATAAAGACGCTTTCGGGAAGACTGAGCTCAGCTATTTTTGCAGTTAGACAGATTAGACAGCTCACAGACGTGAACACAGCAAGGCTTGTTTATTTTAGCTATTTTCACAGCATTATGTCGTACGGAATTTTGCTATGGGGTCGAGCTGCGGAAGTAGATTCAATATTTATTTTGCAAAAGCGGGCTATCCGAGCGATATATAACTTGTCCCCTCGTGAATCTCTGAGAGAACTATTTAAAACGATAAATATCCTAACGGTACCTTGTCAGTTTATATATGAAAATATTATGTACGTAAGGAAAAATTTGCAATTATTTGAAAAAAGAAGCGATAGACACAATTTTAATACTAGAGGCAAAGATAGGCTGGCTGTGCCACGATTCCGCCTGTCCAAAGTACAGAAATCCTTTATGGGGTTCTGTGTAAATTGTTACAATAAAATTCCAAGAAGTGTATTAAATCTTAATGAACGAAAATTTAAAATTTATATTAAACGCGAATTATGTAGACAGGCATACTACAAACTTTCAGATTATATTGAGGATAAGAATGCCTGGCAGCATGTTGGTTCGGCTCCACTGGACAATTCTCAAATATGTAGTCAGTAGTTATTAAAATTCTCAAAATTAATGAAACCTTGAATGAGTTTATATAGAAGCATTCTTTTGGATTGTGAGTACGCATATGTGAGCGCCATGTACGAGACAACAAAGGATTAAAATTTTAATGATAGATTAAATAGACCATAATTTGTTCCTTTTTATTAACAACTTGTCTCTGCATTGTTCTTACATAGGGGTACAGTAATGTATAAAAAATGTATTATTGATGAATTGTAAAACAAATATTTTTTTTAAAAGAGTAACGATGGAGTTTCTTGCTCGTTCTTCTCCATTCGAAACTACAATTTGGAACGAGCACCTAGCTTCACTGACGAACAGACTGACAGACTACTATTCTATTTTGACGTTTCAAAAGTACCTAAGGTAAATGCACCTTATTCCGAGGGGTTCTAAAAATGGCATCATATTCCGATGTATTTAGAAAAACAGTTTTTTAAAACAATTTACTAGTTATTTATGGTCTGCATGATAAAATAATGAATTAATAATTATCTGTTCATATTTATTCATACAAAGGAGAGTTTAGTATGGTCACACTGTAAAATAATCGGTCATTTTGCCGCGAGGAGCGGCGTCGAAAGCACACTTCATACATTTGGGACCTTATGCACGTGAGTATTACGATTTGCCAAATAGTGTTTTACGTAATAATTTTATACAACGCGAGTTTTCGTTTAGGTTGAAATATTGAAAGGATAATATTTTTTATCGAAAACACTTAAGATTTGAGTATTTTATTTGCAAAATAGCAAGAAAATAAGTGTTTAAAATACCGCGGCATTAGGTGCAAAATATTTTAGTGTGTTCCTAAAAGCCGATGTATACCACGGAAAAACAAATTTAAAGACATTTAGTTTTTTTTAAATTTTGGTGTCTGTTTTATGATTATAAACTTTAATGTGTTAGTTCTGACTTAATGAATAACTCATACATTTAATAATCTATTTCCGAGGTACACCGTGGCTTCGCATTTACTAATTATAGCAGGTCAAAAATTGTTTGTACAGGTACTTTATTAATACGTTGTATAGAAGATTTTAGTTAAGACATTAGGTTTTATAAGTGTTCTGTTATTATATGTATGTACTTTATATTTGTTTTCCTTTCATATTGTAACTGTACATTATTTTATTTGCATAATATTAAAAAATCTTTTACTTTTTAGTACTCGGAATTAGAAACTTTGATTTAGCATCATAAAACGCTATTCCGATGTATTTACCTCGGAATTAGGTTACATGAGTACCTAATTCCGATGTATTTACGTCGGAATAAGATTACATGAGAACCTAATTCCGAAGTTAGTTAAGACCCTGTTTAAATACAGAGTGTTCATTATTTTATGTGCTTAGTAGATACGCGTTTAGTAACTGAAAGAATACTAATCATCTATACAAATACATAAAATTCTAGTGTGTGTTTTTTGTTAATTCATTTTTAGAAGATTAAGGAATAATAATAATAAAAAACAGAGTTTAGAATAAAACTAGAATAAACAAAAAAAAAGAACTGATTTCATATAAAAAATAAACAAATTTGGATCTCGTAATAGGCTCTAATTTTGATATGATTATAGCAATTGTTATACTTTTAACTTGTAAGTATAAAGATAATAATAACGTAATTATTTTTGTAATGCAACAATTAGATTTTAATGTTGATATTGTTAATTCATTTTTATATTTTTATAAGATTAAGGAATAATATTAATAAAAAACAGGGTTTAGAATAAAACTAGAATAAACAAAAACAGAATTGATTTAAGAAATATAAAAAATAAACAGATTTGACTTTTAAACATCATGTATAATTCACCCTACATAGTTCCCTTTCTATTTTTATACTCGGAATTAGGAACCAAATGCATCGGAATTACGATTTTTAAATCGGAATAAGGTACTTCGGACTTTTTTATATTTTTATTTATTTTATCAGCTTCAATAACCTTCTATTGACAAACTGCAAATATTTTTCAAAAATTTGATAGGTAACACTTCTGATAAAAATATAAAATTATACACAAAGGTCCGATAAATACTTAATTTATAATGTTCTTTCGTGTTATGTTAAAAACAGCGCGGAATTAGGTGCCTTTACCTTATTTATGGTTTATTTGGAATAAATGATTTTGATTTGATTTGATTTGAACTCCTCCATCCCAAATAGGAGTCGGTATATTAATTTTTAGGATAGATCGACAAATAAGTAGGAGCACCACTTGATGATAAGCAAATCGGCGCCGCCTATGAACACTCACTTCTGTAACAGGTTCTTGGAGCTGTTAAGGATGTATATTGGGAGTTGGGTTTTTAGGGAATGGTAGTACCGAGTTACCACACGGTGAAATACCATGTAAGCGTTTTTTCTCGCCGGTTTTCTGTGAGGCCATGGTATCATTTGATCGAGCCGGCCCATTCGTGCCGAAGCATGGTCCTCCCACACTTAAAAGGATACAACGAAATATTGCCTACTGCGTTCTTCACCAACTTACTTTAACATGCAACCCCATTTACGAGAACACACAAATTTTACGATCTCTCCAATGAGGTCGGTAGTAAAAAACATCAATGTCTATTAACTTTCTTTTCAATTGTTCGCAGAGTATATTAAAACCAAATGCGTACATCGTAACTCAGGGTCCAACTGAAGACACGGTGGTGGATTTCTGGCGGATGATATGGCAGGAGCGGGCGGCTGCCATCGTCATGCTCACCAAAACTTTTGATTTTATCAAGGTAAGTTCTATTATTATTTAGAGATAGCTGATATACAGTGAAGGAAAATACTATTTCGTCTTGTTTATTTCTGTCCGAGATTTATAAAGCTCAATTTAGCTTAGTTAGTGAACAGTGAAATGTGGCAAGTACCAACGTGACTTTTTCTAAATCATACGTGTATAGACACCATTGACAAACGGTGAAGGAAAACATACAAAAAATAAAGCAGCGAGGTATTTCTAATTATAAGTTTGAAGTCGCCAAACCGCCTTAAGCAATCGTGGTGTTTAATGCTCAAACCTTCTTCTTGTGAGAGGAAGAGGAAGCCTTTGCTCAACGATAATGTTATGTGTGAAGGTAAGCCATTTTTATAGTTTAGGAATTTGGTATTCGCAAGGAGCAATTATTTTCGTGTGATCGACATTTGTTTTTGTTAGTCTATATAGGTATATTAAAAAGATACATGTGCAAATATGTATATTTAAACACACAACGATAAGTCACAGAAGAAAATCGCAGAGTAGGCTTTCAAAGTTTTATACATATATAGTGTTAGTTTAAAAAAATGTTTTTGTATATTTTGATATCCAACCTCTTTTTGTAAGTATGCTTAATGATGCCCGACTTTTGTTGCATTTCGATATTGTTTGTTTTTTTTTCTTGTAGGGACAGGGTTTATTATATTTTAAAAAAAAAGTAAACATGTATTACTTGTAATTGTAATAAAATCAAGTTTTATAGAAAAAAGTCATTTAGGTTCCTCCTTAATTACATAATACAGATTTACACTATATACATTTTATTTTTTCTCGTTACGATTTAAATACGTCAGAAGCAACTTAGATGTTATTACAAGAAGCCATAAATAATACTTTCAAAACAAACGTTTTGTAAAATGTTAAAGTTGCAAATGTATTATTTATAAAGAGTCTTCTGAACTTGTTGCGTAGTAAGCATATTTTTAAGTACGTAGTACATTCACCCTAAGTCATGGGATATAGGTACGTACGTAAGCAAGCTCAATGATTAATGCTCAAACCTTTACCGTGTTGAGAAAGAAGAAGCCTTTGCTCAGCAGTGGGCACTCATAGGCTGATGATGTGATGATCAATTTGCGAAAACTCGTTTTAAGTTACACTTTGTAGAGTTCCGTTGTAAACTAGGAATCCTTATAGTTTCGCAATGGATCTCAGAGGCCGTTAGCACCAGAAACCTGAAATTAGGCACCAATATTTAAATAAGTCACGCCGTCAAAGCGGTAAAATAAAAAAAAATATATTTTATTATGCGATATATTAGTGTTTTTTTTTTATTTTAACCCTAACGTGTGTTTCATATCCATTGTTGCATAGGTATTTAAAAATGAATAAGGATTTACTTAGATTTTTTTTTTGATAATGTTAATATTTTCAGAAATAATTGCTCGAAGAGTTAAATAAACCCCTCCCCTCAAACGTGTAAGCCACAGGTTTAGAAAATATGGAATAAATGACAAAAGTTGAATGTCATAAATATTTTCAGATGATGTGATGTGAATTTAATGGTCAGTAATCCCACTCACACGGCGTTATTTCATTAATGCTAAAGCATTGCGCTCCCACGCTTTGTGGCTGTTATATTATTAAAGAGTGATTTATGTAAACAAAACTAAGAAAGGGTAGTTCCATATTCACTCGTATTGAGTTACAACAAATAAATCTTGACACCAAACTTTCTTACATCCATTCCGTACTCAAACACAGCGATTCGGAACAATGATGATTTGTAGGCCATACAAATATTTGTTCCGATGTGGAAATGGAAAGTTACCCTGAAAAAAGAGTTTTAGCTAAATAGTATATATAGTGTTCTGAATCCTTTGTTTGATAATGACTTTGATATCATTAAAATACCATGGCACTACATTATACTTCATTCAGGAGTGAATGAAAGCTGTTTACGTTCAATGAACGAACGGTGAATGAACACGACCAATAAATTTTTAATTAATTAAGTATGCTGTTTTGTATAGCGTTCAATTAACAAAGCAGGTAAATATTTGTTCCTAATTATATTTAGCCTCTGTTTTTAAAGTACATACATAGGTAGTATAACCTTAAAATACTTTATACTATTTTTTTTAAAGATCGATGCTTCGTTCTAGGATTTTCTCCTGTGTCGTGGGTGCGGTTACAAACATTAAATTTTACATGCACATCACATCCAGACCCGGAACAACAATTTGTGGATCACACAAATAGTTATTCCGTGCGGGAATCAAACCCGCGACACGTTGCGCGGCAGATAGTTGCCCAGCCATCGTGCCAACCGTGCAGTAAATACCTAAACTGGAAAGTACCGATGTTAGTTTCTCTTTGACGTAAAAACTACTAAAAGGATTTTGATAAAAATTGGTATAGAAGTAGAGTCTTCAATAATTATTATCCGGGTTATTCGGGCGATACCGCTGGCAGAAGCTAGAACAATTATACATGCTATGATTCACTTGTTAAGAGTTATTATATTAGTCGTATGTATTAAACCTAGTTAGTTATATTAAGGATATTACTTGTTATTAACAAAATTGTCAGACGAGACTTTTTGATCTGCCCAACTTAGAAATAAAACTTTGTACTTGTAGTCAACAGGTAAAATTACATTTTAAAGTTACGAAGCATATTTTCAGAGCCATTCATAAAGAAAATGTATGAAGTGCATACCCGAGGCGTTTTACCACAAATTGTTAACCTCGCGTGTGAGGCGCCGCGCCGGCTCGCGCTACTTTCAAAGATGTGCTTCAAATTTCCTCAAAAATTCGCACAATTTTACACAAATCGCAATCTTTTTCGCAATTTGCAACAACTCGTATCTAGTCTTTTATTTTAGAAAATTTTTTCTTCATAAATGGATAAAAAAAAGTAATGAGTCATGTATTTCCTAACTGTAATCGGGGCCTTCTTAGCGTTATATTGTATTTATTTTGTTGTCACTGGGTAGCAGTACCTACCAGGGGAACATAAGAAAGATTTCGATAGTAACTTGAGCGCGCTAGACTCACATATACTTAGATATTAAGTCTCCTTGAATATGTATACCCACTATAATAATTATGTTGATATATGTACTTAGATAGGGAGGGCGGGGCAAACTCTTACTGGCTAAAAATCGTCAATTTATTCTGTCCCTATTTGTTTAAGGTACAGTATCGTTTGTAGGACGTAGAAATTAATACACGTATTTGCATTATGATGGTTTATTCGGTACTACTCTAAATAACAAGACAGATTATCAACGATTTATTACACACACCGGTCAATGGAAGGTTTTTTTAGGGGGAGGAAATCAATAAATTACTTGTTTCACCCTGCGTATGATGAGTGGAGTGTCAGACTCTTTGTGACTAAAACCCACCGTTACTTTTCCTACTCCATACCGAGGCCGGGGTTCATACTGCGCTTGCATCGAAGTGAAGGAAAAGCAAAAAAGTATAGTAGTTATCTAATGCTTCTGACTGCTCGGTTGGCGCGGTGGCTGGGCAACTGGCTGCCGCGCAACGTGTCGCGGGTTCGATTCCTGTACGGAACACCTCTTTGTGTGATCCAAAAATTGTTGTTCCGGGTCTGGGTGTGATGTGTATGTGGAATTGTATGTTTGTAAACGCACCCAAGAACACAGGAGAAAATCCTAGTGTGGGGCAACGTTTTTTTAAAAGAAGAATAAAGGAAAGAATTTAATAGGTACATTTGTAATTAAAAAAGTAAAACGTAGGAATTTTTAAAACCAACCAGGAATGGTACCCTTCAAAGAGACAGGACTGTTTTCCGACTGTTAGTTCAAACCAGAATGCTGAACGTTGATATTATCCCAAACTAATGAATTCCTTGCACCATAAACTCAACACTAGCACCAGTATTCCTTAGTTTCCCATTAATTCAAGAGCTACCGTCGTACATAATAATTACTTAATGCAAAAGTCTAGTTTGTTCTACTTACACGCCTCCGTCCAGACAAGTTTTGAGAAAGCAGGGAACATGTTCTCTCTCCCTTGAGGTGTTCCCAGAACTTATTACAGGCAGGTGAAGCTTATGATGAGATACAATTCCTGTATTATGAGGTTAGCTGAAGGAATCAGTATCAGGATTTGTAAGAATATAAGCATTTAGTACTAGTTAATAGTAAAATTATAATGATGGTGTTTTATTGTTTTGTTTATCCGCGCTAATATCCGGTGTGAAATTTTTGAACACGATTTTTTTTAATTCGATTTAAAATTGGAATATAATATGAGTGTGCGTGTATGTTACTTGATACACGTAAAAATCAAACGGCCAAGTACGAATCATACTTGAGCTCAAATTAAAATTAAACTTGGAACTCCAAAAAAATAAAAAACGTTGTACTTAATTCTTGTTTTGTACCTTTCAAAATTGAAATAAATAAATAAAAAAAATCTTCCATATTTAAACTGTCTAGCTACCACGGTTTATGAGTCCATCATTCTGTCTGTCAGCTTAGTGATAGACAGACGGACTTTGTCTTAGATCCTATTATTTCCATTGACCCTTTGATTACGGCACCTTAAAAACGCAACAACCCACATTATATTGAGCATTGGCCTTTTAAGTAAAGACTAAGAGTAGGTATTCAAGAGCAAATAAATCCTTTGACTTTGACATAAACTAAGTAAGAAAGTGTATAGTCATCGTCGCCGTGGGTAGGAACAAGACACGCCTTTTTTAATCTCGATAAAACCAAACCTGAGTCTAAAGTGTGCGGAATATCGGTGTTCAGACATTACCTCACACTCCAACAGTTACATAAAGTTCACTGAAGTTTCCTCTCCGGAGGGAAACTGCCTCAAACAAATCATAAAGCGATCAAACAATACCGTCGGATCCCATCCTTCTTGTTTGTTTAATCCTGTCAGATTATCAAGATGTCTATCTTGGGAATTAGTGTTGCTAGAATGTTTTGGTCCTTCGACGTAATGGCATCTTTGAATTCTCGCTTGCTACTACTATCATAAGTGTTTCAATGATAAGGTAGGATATTTCAAGTCCTAACTGGAGTCGCTAGTCAAGCGCAGTAAGTTACCGCGGCTTCGTCTTAGAGCCAGAGAAGGGACAGGAAGTTTTTACTCAGTAAGAGTCTGACACTTCCTTTTGCAAGATCTTCAAAATTCAGTCCATTACTGAACTTTAGGCCTCTATTACAGAATCAATTTTGCCATAATCAAAACGATTGGCAGACGATTTAACAATAGCAGTTGAAAAAATTCAGCTGTATTGGTTAGGAAGCCAGAGAGAGAGACATATATGTAGCTTCGGAGTTGTGGGTGATGCGCAATTATGTAGGTACCAGGGCCCCGGACTAGAGTAGGAGAAGAAACGGGGTGTTTTTTAGTCAGTAAGTCAGTTGCCATACCCAGAAGAAAATAAGATATTTAATGATCCTCGCTCACAACAAAAAAAAAGAGAGAGAGATGGATTATCTATTTTCTTTCAATGTTGCGGCTGACATGCATCTACTTGCTCATGACTGTGAGTCAAAATTGTCAAATTATAAAACTTTATAAGAGATAAAATTTGTAAGTTTGTATGTAAGAAGTAATCTTTGGAACCGCTGGTCGGATCGTCAAAATTCTTTGACTGATAGCTAGCTACAATGTTCCTGAGTGCTATAGGCTACAAAACATCCCGCTACGATCAAATGGGGGTGAATAACTAGTATAATTTATATTGGAATCAGCCTCTGGCCTCGTACAACCAAGTGACCATTTATCAGGGCAAGTGACATTAGCAAAATCAGAGTATCACCCTATTACGGTACTGACGGTTAATAGAAATAAAATTAAATGTTGCCATTCGCAAGAATTACCAGTTAAGTTGGGAAAATAGTTTCCAAGCCAATAAATGCCTAGTTTCAGAGTTGCCTGAAACTTTCAGTTTTGATAAAAGCAATTTGTATGTTACGGTTTCTGCCTGCAGTGTTTATTCGATTTCTGGGAAGCGAATATTTTGCCGTTTATTCGTCAAATTGTATAGACTCTTGTTTTCTAATTTGGTTGATTTTTTTTATGTCGTACGACGGCTAATGAGCAGACGGTTTACCTGATGTTAAGCAATCTGCGCCGCCCATGGACACCCGCAACAGTGGTGTTATGAGTGTATTGCAGACCTTTTGGGGATTAGGGATTTGGATATTTTGGGATTGGGGGAGAGCAACGATTGAAACCTGATAATAAAAAATATGAGCTTTTCCCGGGTGTGAATAGTATCAATATGTTATAGAAACGCAATTGTTTTTTATATTTCTTCTAACAAAAAAACACCTCTCTGTTACTAAAAACACATCATAATAATACCATTAAAATCAATTAAGTACTATTGTTTTTGTGACTTCAGCATACAATATAATATAGTATTCAATAATCGACAAGATACCATTAAAAACTAAACTCCATTATTTCTTTTTCCTTAGGTGATGTGCGTGCAATACTGGCCGCCAAACAAGGAGAAGGACGAGACATACGGAGACATCAGCGTGGGCATCGTACAGGAGGAGGAGCTCGCCAACTTCCACATACGCACCTTCAGACTGTACAAGAGCGAAAAGAATGTATGTACTTACCCACATCTACAATACCGCCAACGTATCTTGGCGAAACTGAAGTTAGCCGATTAGCTGCGCAGTACACAATTTTGTTCCTAAAAGATCCATTGCGCAGACAAACGGCTAACTTCAGACTCGCCAAGATACATCGACCGTACTGTACATCGCCTATTTGCTTAACTTAGTATAGATCGTGTATGTCTGTATGAACATGATAAAATGCTACAGTTTTTGCCAACAGATTAGCTTTTTTGTCTTAGGAGCTAATGAGCTGACGTATTACCTGATGGTAAGCCATCGCCGCCGCCCATGGACACCGGCAACACTGGAGTAGATACGAATGGGTTGCCTTTTTGGGGGTTAATTTTGCGGAGATAGACCTTGACACACTGCAAAATACAACGATGTAGTGTTTTTACGCCTATTTCGGATGTACTGAGTATTTTTAAGCGGTATTTATTACTATTGTGCCGACCTTTTGAGGATAGATTTCGTGATTTAGGAATTGGAATAGGGGAAGAGGGATTGGGTCTCCAGGAACCTTACTCACACTGAAAAACACACCGTTTTATTTCACGCCTGTTTCGGATAAACTATGACATTCATCCTAGTATATTTATAAGAGGGTATTTATCACTATTGAGGGCTTAATTCGCACGCTGGCTCTCTTCTCATAATGTCAAGTGTCCAGAAGATCTTCTATTATTTAATTTCTGATTGCGCTAAATATAGCGTTTTACGATTATCGATAAATTATGTTAGTAAAACATACAACGATGAATCTGAATTTATTCCTTAAATATGGCAATTATAAAGCTGTGCTTGTATTGCCTGCATGCGAATTTTACAAAAAAATATCGAAATACGTATCTTGCTTTAATGAAGCCTGCTTTCCAAGAAATGAAAATTATTTGTTCTTGAAATTGGCGCCGAAACTCGCAGAATGACGGCAGCCAGTCTAATTAGTGAATTGGATAAGTTCTTAAAATTACTAATTGCCTTCTAGTCATTTATTCATAATTCTAGGAATCTGCTCATCCATCGCTTCCTCGCAACAGTATCAAAGCACAAAAGCAATACAAAATAAATACGAATTCTCTAATCTTACGCACAATCTTAAACAAACTTTCGATTATTTTCGGCGCCGCCTATGGGGGTGTCCATAAGCGGCGCCGAAAATAATCGAAAGCAATACCAAAGGAGTTACAAATGCGTCGCCGGGGTGGTGATGGTAAAGGGATGGAAGGGGAAGGATTGGGACTCCGGTAACCTCACTCATACGGTGAAACACAACGCTGTGATTGTTTCACGCCGACTTTCTGTGAGGCCACGGTATCACTATGGTCGAGCCGATCCCTTCGTGCCGACGCTTGACTCTCCCACACTAGTAGAAATGTATTTTTGGAATGTTTATAATAAAATGTATCCTACAACAACGTTGGTAGAATGGTTTTTAGTCTGAATTCATCTCCATTCCCATTTGTTTCACCATAACCAGATTATTCTCACTTCAGAACAAAGCTGGAAGATTTTATTATTATTATTTATGCTCTGACATTTCTTAGTGAGATTGGAGTGGAAACAACTATAATATTGTTCGTTGTTTTGTCTGTCCTTGTTATACTTATATTAGAAGTTGATCTTAAATATTTTGGTGAAAATGCTGATCTGGCATAATAATTATAACAATAGGTAGATAAATCTTTTAGTTTCTGAACTTGTATACCTTGTCAGTTCTTCTGTATACCAAATCACTGTGCAGGACTAACTTCTATGGACCGCATTACCCGTTTAGCCTGGATGAAAAGTTACCTATGTATGTGTTAATCTAGACTACTTATAACTTATTTTCAAATAAGATCAAATCACGTGAAAATGTAGAAACCTCCGTACATCCAAAATTCTGATAGATAATATTACTTTAAAAGTTTTTGTCATTAATAACTAATCAATAAAATAACAATTTCCATTTATTTTATTCAAAATAACAATTATTATATTATTAATAGTGTTTACACATACATAGGTATACACAACTAAAGAGGCTTAACATAATGATATAACAAATTAATGAAACAATCAAAATAATTAATCGGTTATTATAATTTGAATGCAAACCGAACAAGCACTTGATGTATGAAATAAATTTATGAAGTAAATAATTTGTCGATGATTAAATATGAACTGATATCGTTTATTCAATCGTGGTTATGCGAATTTCATAAACTCTCGCATTTTCCATTTTATTAATACACTTTTTAATTGATACACTCATTGATCGCAAATGCAGATTCCTATTTAAAAAGGATTCCTAGGATTGATTCGCTAGCCATATTATATTATGTGTAATAAGTTTTTATACCTAACTAATAGCACGGAATCTTCAATACGATTGTTTTCAATTAGTCGAATTAAATTTTGAACTTTATTTAAATTTCAAATAGGATACTAAAAGTTCGTTGTTTATTATTTTTATAGTCGATTTAGTTATGTGTGATGCCTCAATACCCATTTTTTACTCTTACTGGCCTAATCCACCGCGGTGTCTTTTCTGCCTAAGCTATATTGTGAGTTGCCCTTGCACCAGGCACCAGGCCGGCCAAGTGTGGCCCTTAGAGACTGACTATCTTCTCCGAATGACGCTCAAGAAATACCACGGCCACAACATTCATAACATAACCTTCTTTATCTGGCATTTTGGAGATTAAGGTGTTATGGGAGCCTGTTTATTAACTTCTACCAACTCCTGTCAATCAGATTCAAGTGTGGGAGAACCAAGCTTCGGCATGAATGGGTCAGTTCGACCGGAGTGATACCAAGGCCTCTCAAAAACCCGCGTGAAACAATCACAGCATTGTGTTTCGCCGTGTGAGTGAAGTTACCGGAGGCTCAATTCTTCACGTCTTTCCATCCCTACCCAATCCTTAAAAAACTGAAACCCTTATTACCAAAAAGCCAGCAATGCACTCGTAACTCTTTTAATGTTGCGGCTGTCCATGAGATGCGCCAATTGCTTAACATCAGGTAATCCGTCTGCTCGTTTGCTGTCCCCAGTAAAAGAAAGTATAATTCTATTGGTGAAAACTGGATTAAAATCGACCTATCTAATAAAAAAATCTAATCTATTCACCTTTATACAAATTCATTCCCATTTTGTCCCTTAGGTGGTGGTGGAAGAGCGCTTCATCCTTCAGTTCCACTACACACAATGGCACTCCCACACCTGTCCGTTCAGCAACGCACTGCTGGAGTTCAGGCGTCGAGTGCGCGCCGTCGTCGGCCGGAGACTCGCCACCAACCCCGCCGCAGGACCTATGGTGGTGCACTGCAAGTAAGTTTTATTGCCTTTTATATGATATAAAAGGTTTTCTTAAAAATTTGCTAGTGAGATACGAATATTAAGTGATGGATGATGGATGATGGATGATGGATGATGGATGATGGAGGATGGATGATAGATGATGGATGATGGATGATGGATGATGGATGATGGATGATGGATGATGGATGATGGATGATGGATGATGGATGATGGATTATGGATTATGGATGATGGATGATGGATGATGGATGATGGATGATGGATGATGGATGATGGATGATGGATGACGGATGACGGATGACGGATGATGGATGATGGATGATGGACGATAAATGAAGAAACCATTCTTTACATTTAAACTTGATCTTCCGTCAGACTAATTTTAGCTATTTCAATCATAAGTTTTTTTATTTAAATGTAACAAAATTGTTTACCCATATTATCAAATATTGTAGTTTAATGCAACGCGAATATCCAAGCCTTTATTACATGAAATAATAACATCATTAAAAATAAAACACTAGGAAATTGTATCGAAGAGCATTTCTAACTAGATGTATAACAAATTAGTTTATCACTGAGTATATGTGCCGTGCAAGTAAATAGCATTTGATGCATTCCCCGTTTACTGAGTAACATATAAATTATTACTCCTATGTAATACTCATAGCTACTTAATATTTACTATAATTGTAGCGGTCCGACCCGTCTTCGGACTAGTGCAATGCTAATACTGAATTTCTCCTCTATACAGTGTGAGGCACAAATTATTGTTTAAATGTTTATACACCCGATTCTGCTGCTCAAATGAAACAACATTTGCCATAAGTCTAATATGGAAATCTCAGTATTATAAGTGTGGGAGAGCCAAGTTTCGGAACGAATGGGTCGGCTCGACCGGAGTGATACCACGGCCTCACAGAAAACCGGCTTGAAACAACCACAGTGTTGTGTTTCGCCGTGTGAATGAGGTCACAGGAGGCCCAATCCCGTGCAAAAATTTGTTGTAATTGAGCACAAAAATCGGCTCCTTCATTATATTCCTCATTTAACCTAACAGGCTGTATAATGGATGATTTTATACATGTAAACCTTCCTCTTTAATCACTGTTTCTTTGCTTGCGTAGTTTTAAAGGCATACATAAAAACATAGGGACAGAGAAAGCGACTCTGTTTTATGTTTTATACTATGTAGTGATGATGTAGGTTAGTCACTGGAACTACTGACTAAAATTAACAAGAAATATTGTGTTGGATAGTACATATAGAAGGGTTTTAAGAAACGAGCGGTTGACGCTGAAAGGAATTGAAAATAACAAATGTTTAAAATTAATTAACGAAAATTAAAAAAAAAACAGTCATCTTCTTCTATATTCTTCAGTAAAATAATTATTCTATTCTAGTGATGGAGGTGGTCGGTCGGGCGTCTACTTGGCCATCGACGCAAACCTCGAGTTAGCTGAAGAAGAAGACTGCTTCGATGTATTCGGTTTCTTGAAGAAACTCCGACAATCACGGAAAGGACTTATAGAAAATGAGGTAAGTTCTACCTAGGTACTTTCTTTTAAATTACATTATTATGAAAGTATACCATTATGGGAATCGGAGGCACCGCGGCCTTGCCCTAAAGCAGAAGAGGGAATGGGGAACCTTTAGTCAGTAAGAGTCTGACACGTCCTCTCGCCTCACCGGAGAAGTCATTTGATGATTTTCCCGTGCCAATAAAAAGGAGGTTAATTACGTATGGTGATAAGTGACAAAAGACAAGGCCAGTTGTTGGCCAATTATCCAGGATTGCGGGGCAAGTACACTAAAGTACCGCGGCCTCGGCCTGGTACAGTAGAAGCAGGTACTTTTTAGCCAGGAAGAGTCTGCGAGTGCTAGGGATGCCATTTGATCATTTCCCACCCTCAAAAAAAGTTATGTACCAAATGGTTACTTTCTGGAAACTAGTCGAATACAATACTTTTTCGAATAGTGTAAATTGACAGATTTCTACACAACTAATAGGAAACCGTGTTATTGAAAAACACCTTTAATATACAATATAAAATGAATGAATGAAAGACGAGGCCAATTGAAATTGTTTAACAAAGTATCAATATACATATATTATTAAACAATTTCAGTAAAAAAATATATTTAAAAATATGAAGCAAACAGTTTCATATTGTGCAATTTTCTTTTTTAATCTATATTGTATTGAAAAATCGAAGTCGAACTATAAATATTTTAACTATAGATATTTTATTAAAGTATAAATACAACCTTTTCCTCTTAGTATTGAAATCTGCAATACTGAATGCATGTGCAATTAAAGAACTCTTAGTAGCATTAAAATCACTATAGAAAAGTTACAAAAAATAAAATTTAAGTTCACATAACCATTCGAGGAAATAATTTATGCATCTTATATAAACACAATAGGGTTTAAATTCCTAAAGGCCACTTAAATGCAGCGACATTCCCTCGCAAATGCAGCAAATTGAATTTCACAAGAAAGGGAGTTTGCTTTTAGTAGCAACTTATTCTCTCTAATTGAAGATTTTCTCCGGAATGCTACAACAACAGAGGAAATTGAGCTCAAAGTTGAGTATTAGTAGTGATTTTGTTGGCATTAATATCAGTGATTTACTGCGAAAATGTAGCAAAGTGTTCCCGTACAGAATTCCTAAAGAGAACCGTTTGTTTCTGATATTGCTCTAAATGGGTATGTTCTTAAATAAATGTTTTATTGAAGCTTTCGTTTAGATGTTGGGAAATGGAATGAATAAAAAAAGAGAATCTTTTTAGTTCCGTAAATGATATTTATTATCTGTGTAAGACTCTCAGCTGCACGTCGATTCTATAAAATTTGCTTGATTTTGAATCTTTTTCGAGTGTGAAGTGAGCATCGAAGTAAATTACATTAATTACGGGTAAATTACATAATAGAATGCCACTTTTAACGTCATCTCATATCAAAATGTTGCTGTCAATTTAGTTCAACTCGCAAGTGTAGCGCTAGTGTACTACTACTCGCGGCGGATTCAGATTCGAAGTTTAGAATGAAGTCTTACAGAATCAAACTGCTGGCGTCGAGTTTTACTTTAACGTTTTCTTTCACACAAATAATAACTTTATATTATTTAGAGATTAAAACGTCTTCACCATCATCGTCATCAACCACAAGAAGTCCATTTCTGAAAATAAGCTCTCCTGGTGACTTCCATATTGGCGACCGGTTGAAAGCTACCTTTATCAGGCCGTCTATGGCTGCGATTCCTTAGTAAATTAATAAATTCTTAATTAAATCCCCAATTCTCCTAACAGGAACAATACAAATTCGTGTACGACACGTTAGAAGAACACGTTGTCTGTGGAGTATCCTGGTTCCCAGTCTCAGAACTGTCTCAGAGACTGAAGCAGAAGTCTCAAAGAGATCCCGTGTCGAAGCTCAATGAATACCAGAAAGAGTACCAGCAGATCTGCAAACAAACTCCTCGATTCACGATAGGAGACTGTGCTGGAGGACACCGTGGTGATAATCGGGAGAAGAATCGAGATGTCCTAGTCGTGCCACGTAAGTATCTTCTGATTGATGTGTACTCAAGACGGCTTTAAGTGAAGAACCCTCAAAGAGCCAATAGACCACCACAGATGGGGCCAACATAACCAATGCTTAGCCCCCGGCTAAGCCGCCAACGCACTTGTAACTCCTTTGATGTTGCGGTTGTTCATGGGTGGCGCCGATTGCTTACCTTTAGGTAATTCGTCTGCTTGTTTGTCGACCTATCCCATAAGAAAACATATTTCAGAAATAAATTATATAAAACATAATTCTGTGTAGCTTACTTACTACTACTTGCTTACTAAGTCAATAAAATGCAAATTATCTTCGTCTGTAACACCAGAAGCGAGAATAACGAGTGCGTTACCGGTCTTTTGGACATTAGGGCTCTGGAGATTTAGAATTTATTAGGGTAGGGGAAGGATTGGGCCTCCGGTAACCTCACTCACATGGCGAAATCCAATGCTGTGGTTTTCTAGGGCCGATTTTCCTTAAGGCGGTATCGGTCCTGTCAAGCAGGCCCATTCGTGCCGAAGCATGGCTCTCCCACACTTTAATTACAAATTACAACATTTGTTACAGCTGACAACTTTCGCCCTTACTTGACGTCCTTCCAAGGGAACAGCTTCACTGACTACATCAATGCTGTCTTCGTAGATGTAAGTACTTACATATATTTTTAAATGACTCTTAAAACCAACCAATATTCAGATTATAAACAAATTCCAAATGGAAAGAGTGTTCATTCAATATGTCATCCACGGAGAAGAATATGTACATTGGTCATCCCTGATCGTGTCGTGGTTGTTGTTAGACCCAGTTTAAGGATATGCGCTTTCAAAGAACCAATAGACTACCACAGATAGTGCTCAATAACGCTGATGTTCAACCGGGGTGGCGAATCAAGAGTTCTAATGTACCGCGACGTCGGCTGGGGTAGTTATTAGCCAGTAAGAATCTAACACTCTGTCTCGCTCTACCCAGGGCGGGAAAAACCATTTGAGGATCTTCCACCCTCGAAAATAAGACAACGCTTAACCTAATAATAAAGACTATATATTGACAGATGGCAAACAGCAGTATCCGTTGATAGATTCCAAGTGTTAAACTTCAACCTTTTGAAAAGTCTAATAGGTTAATTTTTTTATTCACCTGCCAAACCAACACTTCAAGGCAATCCCTATCCGGCTCATATTTTACCTACTCAGAACCACAAAAGTATTCCATAAAACAGTCACACTCAACAGAAATGAAAGGACAATTTTATTAAGCAAAATGCAATTTCCTCGCCATCGTCCCCTACTAAGAAAGTTCATCTTTTAAGTTATATAATGTGACTTTATTGTGACGGGCACCGCACTCAGAACTAGTGTTAATGCTACCTTTGTAGTTGAACAGTAGTTATGGTTATACTTATTTTTTTTTTACTTTTCCGTTGACTCGTAATGGAATAGTGAAATAAGATTAAGCTTGCGTCCTACCTTCCTTTCATTATGAGAAGTGTTTATATTAGACTTAAGTATCTTTTGTGGTAATATCTTATCGAGAGGATGAGTTTTTATTTTTATCTATTAGTATTTAGTACGTATAAATTGTGTAGTAAAAAAAGGTGTGACGTCACTTCCAAATTTAAATTCATAATGTCTATTGTTTTCTTAGGCGGTTAAATACAAAATACAGTATTTAATATTTTTTTTAATTTTTTTATATTTTTTGTTATATAAATATGTAATGGCGAAATAATTAGATTATTCATTTTCATACGTAGACAGCCTTAGCAGTCATTCTCATTAGGTAAATAGAAATATAAAAAAAGTTAAAGAGGCGACCATCTTTTTTTCTATTGAACAACCTCAAGGCATATTAATCCCAGCTTTGATTGGATCTAGAATTGATAGCTTTAACTAATAGCCAACTTTTTTACAGGGTTACACAAAACCTCGTGAGTACATAGTGACGGAATGGCCTCTAGTCAGAACCCAGGGAGAGTTCTGGTCACTGGTGTACGACTACGAATGTGCAGCAGTCGTCGTCCTCTGCGTACCTCCCAAGAACTCTGTAAGTAAACAGGCTATACATAATTAGTTTTGACCTCTAGTCAGACGGGATTGCCAGTACAAATGCAATAATATACCACAAGCTCGGCCCAAACTGGGAAGCCGTCGCCTCGTTCTGTGAAGCGGAAAGCAGGAGCGGGGCGTGTAAGAGAGCTATCCTCATTTGTCATTGATTTTACTCTCACAAAACAAAAAAAAGAGTGGTTTTAGAGTCTGAAACCTAACTTTGAAATAAAAAAATACCTTCAGTTTTATTGTAAATCGATTTGGAATTGGTTTAAGTAGCGTTAAATTTTGTGTAATGTAGGTACCTTAAAATCTTTCAATTAATTAATCAATTCCTATGTCGAATTAAAAAGGCCAAGTTCTAGAGTAATAGTATCGTTCAATAACACTCTTGTTATGCATGCTGTGTTATGCTGTTGTTATGTTATGCTGTCACGGTCACGGCAACAAAACCGACGGCATAATCTTAATACCATTTTTTGCTACAGCAACAATTTCCACCATTCTGGCCTGAGGGTCGTCATTCGAAGAAGTACGGGCCAGTGTTCACGATAGACCACGTCTCCCACAACCACTACACAAACATCAAGACCTGGATATTCAGAATTAATAAGAAGGTAAAATTATTATTTTTGCCTTCAATTTTGTATAGTTTTCTTACCTTAAATATAGTATAGTTTATATTAGAATCGTGGCTTTCGAGTTCAATTTCAAAAATATTATCGATCTGCTTTTTCGAAGAAGCTCACCTAATGGTAAGCAATTATCGAAAATATTTGGTAACACCAAAAAGCTGATCTTTTAGGGATTTGGGAATTGGGAAGTGAGGATTGGGGAATGAGGATTTAGGATTCAGAATTTAGGGATTCGGGTGAGGCGTCCTTCTGTAACCTCACTATCACGACGAAACATGATTAAGCACTGTTTCACTCCGCTTTTCTATGAAGCTAAGGTCTCCGGTCAATTTGGACATAACCGGCTGTGCTACTCATTTATTAAAATAAAAATATGGAACGATTTGTAAGTTTTTTCTATTAACTATAATGAATCACTAACTTTTGTATTACCTAACAGATTATTTCGCTGACTGAGCTGATGGCTGGTGTGAAAGCACCCACGAAGACTGTGCAGCTATTCCAATTGACGTGCTGGCCAATGGGTCATAAAGTGCCATCATCCACAAACTCGCTGGTCGAGCTCATGAACATGGTGGAAAGGTGGCGACAGCGAACTGACTACGGACCTGTCTGCGTCGTGTCGCCGTGAGTATATGTTTATATTAAAATAAAAATACTACGACGCAACCTCAAGATGCTCAAAAGTATCGTCTGGTGGTTTTTAATGATAAAATTGTTGTTGATCAGTGACGGTCGAAGTCGTGCCGGCGTATACTGCGCTGCCAACGCGTGCATCGAGCAAGTGATCCAACACGGCGAGGTGGACGTGTTCCAGGCAGTCAAGACTGTACGCCGGCACCGACCACAACTCGTAGAGAACATGGTATGTATTAACCACGAGATAATAAATTTTGCTAATTGTGCTAAAATTTGTAAGACGTTATGTCAATTATTAAACGACTGTCATTCTCCACAGACCGAATACAAATACTGCTACGATCTAGTACTCCACTACGTACTGCACTATTTAAATAAAGACATGAATGAAAAGAAGTGAGAGTGCGAACTCAAGGACGAACTCTGGTTCATCGAGTTCGGCCGCGGCGCTGCGCTGCCCACGACGCCCGAGGAGACGTCGCCGGCAGCGCCACGCGACGCCAAGCGCGGGCGGCCCCGGCGCGGCCTGTCGCTGGACCGCCTGCTGCCCGCGCCGCGCCCGCCGCTGGCGCACGCCGCCACGGAGGAGCCGCGCCGTCCGCGCCGCGAGCGTCCGCCGCTGCGCCGCTCCTTCCGCCTCGACGAGCACGACGCTGCGGCCGCCGAGCGGCGCCGAGCCTTCGTCCGCGGACCGCGCGCGCCCTCGTTCGACGAGGGTGAAGACTGCGAGTGTGCGCGGTCCTCGCTGGAGCGCGACCAAGCCTCGGACGCGCCCGACGAGGACGACTACGAACCGGAGTTCGCCGCCTCACCGCCGCGCGCGGTGCCCCCGCCCCGCGCCGGCTCTTCTGATCGAGTGCTGCACGACGCGTCGCCTCGGGCACCTGCGCGTGCGCACTCCCAGGGCGTCTTCGAGCGACGCCTTCCTAAAATATATAAGTTCGGCCTCATGGACAAATCTAAAAGGGCGAGCTCGAGCGCCCTCTACGAGCGAGCAGAGCGTTCGCCCACCGAAGCGTTCTATAACGCGACAGGCTCGACGCGGCTTAGCTCACAAGAACTCTTTGAAAAGTTCTGTTCTGAAGAATTTACCTCTTTGTACGGACGAGACGACGACCGACGACGTCGGCCCCCACACTCCAAGTCTACAGGTAGCAGCGGGTCGGACGTCCGGCACGAGCGCACGTGCTGCCGCCGGCCGCCGTGCGGGTCGCAGCCGGCGCTGGGCCGGCGCCACGTCTGCGTGCCCGCGCGCTCCGACCGCTCCACGGACTCGGAAGATACTTCGCCCCGTCGCACAGCACCCCGCCAGCTGCCACTCGACCCAGACGCTGACCCCAGCCAGCTGGACGATTGCTCCCGTTCTGCGCCTCTATTGAGCCCAGACAGGTTCGAAGCTCGTTTCACATTTGATATATCTGAACGCAGCGAAGTCACATCAAATCGCGACGAAACTCCTTCGGATGCGACCGAAACGCGTAACTTAACTCTTTACGAAGAACCGCATTCGGATCGCACCAGTCTTTGCGAATTGTATGACGCAGCATTCTCCTCGCATCGCCCATCATTTCGTAGAGATGGGTCACGACGTCGCGCTGGTCCTGTCGACCTGAGTGCGCTCGATTTCCGAGCCATCGATGATGAAAGTCCGCGCCACAGTCGTCGCACATCACAGCGAAGTATGGACGATACGCTGCGTCAGAATTCGGAAACGCGCAGTTGGGCTTCAGACTCAGTGTTCGCCACTCCTGAGCGGCACGCTGCGGGCGACGTATCACCATTGTCTAGTGGAACTCGACAATCACTCACCGTACCCGGAGACTCCCCACCGCGCGCTGATTCTGCTGCGGCAGATTCTACCGTGGCCGAAACCACTATCGCTGAAACCACCGTCGTCGAAGAAGAACCAACTAGTGTGATTGAACGTGCCGAGTACGCGCTAGCTCTGCGGCTGGGTCGCATAGAATTAGACGACGAAGCATCAGAACGCGCATCGTCCACACCGTGTGGTAGCGCTCGGCTGTCCAGTCGGCCTTCCATGCACAAGCTAGAACCGTTGGAGCCCCTGGAGCCGGAGCGGCTGTGTGGCGGTGGCGAGGAGCCCCGCGGGCGCCGGCGGCGCGGCGCCAGCGAGCCGCGGCGCTCGGCGCGCTGCTTCCCGCTCTGACTGCGCGCGGCGGCGCCGCCGGGCCGGCCGCGCCGCAGCCGCCGCCGCTCGCCCCCCCGAGTGCCTTCCCGCGCCGCGTCGCCTTACCGCGTGCTGCGCGCGCTGCGCCGCTGGCCCGGCCGCTGGCCCCGCCGCTGGCCCGGCCGCACGCCCCGTCGCCGCGTCGTCCGGTCGCCGCTGTCCCACTGTACAGTCGCCCCCTCGTAGTTCTCGTCGGTTGCCGGACCGTAACTGCCAAATTTCTAAATATAATGTAACTACTAATTATTTCGTTTAGGTAAGTAGAGTAGCGCCGTCTTTTTCGGTATCGTTAGGTAGGCAGTGCCTAAGTCGACTACGTGCGTAGAGCGTAGATTCTAAATCTCGTAGATAGAAATTGTACCCGGGGCAGCCGCGGGCGCCCCGGTCGCAGTCCACGACTGACACAGGGTCATCGTTTAGCTAATTACACATTAATTAATGCGATGCCCACACTGACGCTTGTGTTGCGGTCTAATAATTAATATTCCGCGAGACAAACACGTGTATGAATTTTTACTAGAAAATTAAAACGATGGAATCGAACATGCATGCACTTTAGTCACATTAAATTAAAGCCAAAACCTAGGTAGTAATAAACAATGTAGATGGTAGCCGACACGGATGCGGGAGTAGAGCGCAGTGCGAGTACCGCAGAAAGTGACAGGCGTGAGTGCGGGCAACGCGCGACGCAGCGCCATGTATGGAGCGGTGCGCCGTGTGATCTAGTTAGAACATAGAATATAAATATATTACATTTAGGTGATTTATGTGCTTTTTATATTGAGCTGAAGCGTTTCTTCACGTGACGTGGAGTTTCAGGGCACACGTCGACTACCGCAGTTAGACTGAACCTGGTACTGTTCTGTATAAAAGTGTTTCAATATAATATAATATTTTGTATTCTCGATACCTTGCGTTCAACTGTTTTGGTGTCGTATGTGTCGATGTTATCAATGTTTGTCTAGTTTATTCCAATGTGTTAAATATTTTGTGTCATTATATGTATATTACACGTGACGATATATAAAGTTATATTATATTAGTGGTACGGATTAATTATATGTAAGCTTAACTAAAATTCGCGGGTTACTCACGTGTAAATGATGAGAAAAGCTCTACTAGTTTCGAACCACAGAGGGGTTCTTCCTCATGAGCAGCGTGCGCGGACGCGGCGACGTCGCGCAGCCTACTTGAGTAGGCTGCGCGACGTCGCCTATTCGCCGCGTGTCGCGTGTCGCCTATGCGTCGCGTATTTTAATTTAGTATGTCTCACGATAGTTATTATAAAAATATATGTAAGCTTGTAATTTGCTGAATATTTCGGAAAGATAATGTCGATATTTAATATTTGCAATATCTTGCTGTTACTTTTATACCCTGTATTTCAAGTGTGCCAATTCTTCCAAAGTATATATGTATAAATATGTGTTGGCTCATTGAAGATTTTTATTTTAACGTTTCACGAAGTGGAACCATTTTTTGCGTACCTACATGTAAAGTTATTTAAGTTGTGTTGTTAAAGAATTTATTAAGTTATGAATATATTTCTTAAAATATATAATAAACATATTTTCATATATATTTGGTACCTAGTGTTTATACAACCTTCAAATTGAATTCAAATTTATTATGTATATTTATATATTTGGGCTTCGAGTCGATTTGTCGTTTAGATAAATAAGAATACTTCCAATCGTATTATTAGCTCATTTATTATTGTTGTCCTTCCATAATTTATGTATAAAATATTCGATATTTAAAAAATAAATGTCTACTTATAGTAAATCGATTAAAGTATTTTTAAATGGCAATGTCAAAGTATTGATTGATGCTTAATTTTTTACAAAAAATATAAATTATTTTCTAGTGTTGCGTCACAATATTGCTACAGATTCGCTTAATGGATCTACAATTTAATTTTAGTGGGCATGGCTATGAATTGTAATATTTTCTTAAGCCTTTTGAATATGAAAAACTATAATATGTATTACTTAATTTAGTTAATTATTCGTCTACAAATATATTTACGCAAAACGAATGTAACGCACAACCTACCAATCCTAACATTTATTGAAATAAACATAGTAATACCCTTTTGACTGCAAACATTTTACAGTGCAATTTTTTGAGAAGAAATTTACGCTTTTCTGGTATATAGCGGCTTTTATACATACCTACGTAGAAGGCCAAAGTCAGTATAGTAAACAGATTGGATAAATTTTTGTATCAATCTAATATACCAGCGTCCTTACCGCTTTTGTAAGCAACAGTACGCTTTGCCAATAAATTACCAAAAAAAAAAAAAAGAATTTTATAGACGATAGCAACTGTGTTGGCGACTGTACAACGTTTTTAAAAGACATTATATTGAGAGGGTTTTTTTTCTAAGATTTTATTTTATATATTTTTGCTAGGAGAGAGGTTGAAATTATAAAAGTTTTGTGGATCTATGAACATATTTTGTTTCCCGGAATTTCACAAATTCAGGACTTGTGGCCCTTTGAAAAGTTTTGTTATTTTTATCAAAATACATAAAGGGCGTGTTTCAATTCAACATCAACATTTTAATATCATTTCTACCTCTCTCAGCATGAAGTTCAGTTTTCTTCAGTTTTTCTAATATTTTCAAAATATTGTTTAAATACCTATAGGTAAATAGATACGTGTTGTAAATGCTTTATTGTAAGTTAAAATTTCATGTGGACCATATTTGATGTTTTTTTAGTAATAGTTAATATCTATAAACGTAAACAATTTCCTTTGTAATTAAATTAAGTGGAATAAAACTTAATATAACGACGTCACGCCACACTGACCATCTTTATGTAAATATATTAGAAAAAAAATAACTAATTACGTAGTCAAAAGTACCTACTTATACCAAATTATGAATACTGTATACCAATATACATACATATTAATGAATTTGATTATATATTATATATATATATATTAGGGAAATGTGAAAATTGTAACTAATACATAATTTATATAGAAAACATTGTGATTTCAAATTTTCAACTTCCATAATATTGTAAAATAACTTATTGAAATATTGTTGTCATAAATGTTATTTGAAAAGGTAATTTTAAAATTTATACATGAAACTTAACGGGAAATATATTTATTTGTTGTATAAAATTATTTGTTTTATTCAGAAGTCTTTTACTGATTTAAATACCCTATTGGACCAAAAGGGCCTTTATGCCTTTGCCTCGCATCTCGCGGGTAGCGAGCCGGCGGCGGCGGCGGCGCGGTAGCAGCAGGATCTTACGCGTATAATCAAATGGACCGGCCGGGCAGCGAGTGGTGTACTTTAGTCGAGCGGTGACCGCCCACATCCACAATAAATCGAGCGTTAGGGATAAATTTAAATCAAAAAGATGTTGCCGCCATTGTTCAGACATTTCATTCGCGAATAAAAGCAAATATGTCGACGACACAATAATTAACACGACACTAAGCGGTTACAATGACACGCGATCCGCCCGCTAGTTTCGAGAACGGGTCTGCGATGCTCGCTCCGCTCCCGCGCCGCCGCCGCTGCCGTCCCGCTGCCCGCAAGATTCGAGGCAGCGGCCTTAGATCTTTACAGATGGGGCCCAATAGGGCTGATGTTTAGCCAGGGAAAGCGCAATAAGATGCCGCGGCCTCGGCTTGGAGCAGGAAAAGCAACGGGGTGGTCCTTAGTCTTAATAAGAATCTTACACTCACTCCACCTCACCCTGGATAAGTGATTTGATTTGATTAATCACCAAATCACTCCTCTAAACCCCTCAAAAAGAAATTATACATAGGAACATGTAAGGGTTGCAAGGAAGTAAAATAGTTTGCATACCTTAATGTCTATTTTCCGTTGCACGTTGGAGTATTCAAGTTTTTGAAAATGAAACTAGATAGAAGCCCCATGCTTCACACGATTTTGCCTGTAACTCCATTTTCAGTGCCATTTTTAACATTCTATATATTCAGCTTTTACTATGAGTATACCTAATATGTACGATACATAATCTATACATAGAGAGGAAAGGTTTGATTGTTGAATTGAATAGGCTTCGAAACTACTCGACCTATTTGAAAAATTCTTTCATTATTTGAAAGCTACACTAACCCTAGTAAACATCGAGTGACGATCTCCGGCCACCGTAAGTGCGGGTCTGCGGACGGCGAGTAAGGGAACCAGACCCGAGCGTACGGCGCGTAGCGTTCCGCGCGCGCCTCAAAGAGCCAATAGACTACCACAGACGGGGCCCTATAGGGCTGATGTTCAATCGGGGTTGCGGGGTAGGCGCAATGAGTCACCGCCGCCTCGGCCTAAAGCAGAAGAAGGAACGGAGGAGTATTTAGTCAGTAAGAGTTTGAAACTCTCTCTCACATTTTCATGGGCGGGAGAAGTCATTAGATGATTTTACCCTGAAAAAAAAATCCCCAGTAAACATAATGCTAACTACCTAACTTCGCAAGTAAAACCACGTGGCACAGCTAGTAGATAAATTTGCCGAGCCCTCGTCTAATAACAGGCTAATATATCTACCAATCAACAGAAATGATCATAAAACCTCCCACGGGACTTAGGTACAGCAATAAACGAAATAATTATAATTTAATTAAAACTTAATTAAGGTTCTTGACGTAAACACTCATTTGTGAATAAAAGCCTTAATCGCGAAGTCTGAGTTTTATTATGGGAAATACATATATCATCGTCCTGTTCTAGGAAGAAAATTAAAAAAACATAATGTGACTGTGTATAATTAACATGTTACTAAGTTGGTAGAATTATTACGTATAAGCCAGTCAAAGAGTTTGTTTTGTTTTCGTTGGATGACCATGTGAGAGATGATTGGCATAGACAAATTTAGATTCAAAGTACCTATTTATGATTTAGTTGGAATAAATTATTTTGACTTTGACTTTAGTGCTATAGAGATTGGTAGCTTCCAGTAACCTCACTCATACGGCGAAATACAATGCTGTGG